AAAAGTTTTTATTTATATATTTTTTATATTTTTCTATTTATTTTTATTTTTATGTATTATTTTTTTTTATTATTATTATATATATATTTTTTTCTTCATATATATATATATACTGTTTTCAAACTTTGGAATATGTCTAAATGTTGTATTAAATACAATAAAAAAAGAGTAAATGTAAAAAAAAAAATACATATATATTTAAAAAACAACAACAACAACAACAATATTTTAATAATAAAACAGTAGGTAGAGTTGAAATAGAAGATGATTACAGTATTTACTTATTTTCTGAGACGGTCTGGTTGGTAGGAAGTTTGTTTATCCATCATATCTAATAGGTGTATTTGTGCCTCTAATGTGAAAACTCAAGGGACACACTTCTGCACCCTATTCCTGCAAAACACTTTGTGCAACACTGAAAACACAGAGAGACAGAGAACTCACCCCGTTCAGTAAATGTTCATTGTTAGGTGAACTATTCTTTTAATTGCTTCCTGTTGATCAGATTATTCAAACGTTGATTCGATTCGAGCTCGTTCAGATTGATTGGTGTGTTTACAGGCCGACTGAGCCATTAATCCAATTATAAACAGATCTGGGTGCATGCAAATGTAGCTATTGATGTCCTCATGGCATTTTGTGCACTTCGTGAGCAGACTGGGGTCATTCAGTGTGTTGCATCAGATGTTGTAGCGGTCTGTCGTTGCACATTGGTTGTTCTCTTGTGCAGCACTTTTGAGATGCAAACGGATGAAGGAGCTCATCAGCCGATCACTGGCAATGATCTGAACCCACTGGAGGCTGTGCTACTGTATTACGTCATTCGCAATGCTTTATGGGAAGTGCACAGTGTATAGAGCACATGTCCTGTATCCATGGTAACAGCGATTAGTGGATTTGTCTCCAGAATTATTTTCATTGGGAATATGACAATTAAACACTTTTTTATATTGACTTTTTCAGCCTCTGAGCTCATGTTAGGTCTTGAAATATTTAAACAAACGTAATTTCTCTATGGAGAAAACTATTGGGATTTTTACTTCCATAACCTGAATGTTGAGCTAAAAATATTTACATA